GTGGCCAGCTTCAGGTTCCTCAACACAACAACCTGGTAGTTCACTACACAGTGGCCAGCTTCAGGTTCCTCAACACAACAACCTGGTAGTTCACTACACAGTGGCCAGCTTCAGGTTCCTCAACACAACAACCTGGTAGTTCACTACACAGTGGCCAGCTTCAGGTTCCTCAACACAACAACCTGGTAGTTCACTACACAGTGGCCAGCTTCAGGTTCCTCAACACAACAACCTGGTAGTTCACTACACAGTGGCCAGCTTCAGGTTCCTCAACACAACAACCTGGTAGTTCACTACACAGTGGCCAGCTTCAGGTTCCTCAACACAACACAACAACCTGGTAGTTCACTACACAGTGGCCAGCTTCAGGTTCCTCAACACAACAACCTGGTAGTTCACTACACAGTGGCCAGCTTCAGGTTCCTCAACACAACAACCTGGTAGTTCACTACACAGTGGCCAGCTTCAGGTTCCTCAACACAACAACCTGGTAGTTCACTACACAGTGGCCAGCTTCAGGTTCCTCAACACAACAACCTGGTAGTTCACTACACAGTGGCCAGCTTCAGGTTCCTCAACACAACAACCTGGTAGTTCACTACACAGTGGCCAGCTTCAGGTTCCTCAACACAACAACCTGGTAGTTCACTACACAGTGGCCAGCTTCAGGTTCCTCAACACAACAACCTGGTAGTTCACTACACAGTGGCCAGCTTCAGGTTCCTCAACACAACAACCTGGTAGTTCACTACACAGTGGCCAGCTTCAGGTTCCTCAACACAACAACCTGGTAGTTCACTACACAGTGGCCAGCTTCAGGTTCCTCAACACAACAACCTGGTAGTTCACTACACAGTGGCCAGCTTCAGGTTCCTCAACACAACAACCTGGTAGTTCACTACACAGTGGCCAGCTTCAGGTTCCTCAACACAACAACCTGGTAGTTCACTACACAGTGGCCAGCTTCAGGTTCCTCAACACAACAACCTGGTAGTTCACTACACAGTGGCCAGCTTCAGGTTCCTCAACACAACAACCTGGTAGTTCACTACACAGTGGCCAGCTTCAGGTTCCTCAACACAACAACCTGGTAGTTCACTACACAGTGGCCAGCTTCAGGTTCCTCAACACAACAACCTGGTAGTTCACTACACAGTGGCCAGCTTCAGGTTCCTCAACACAACAACCTGGTAGTTCACTACACAGTGGCCAGCTTCAGGTTCCTCAACACAACAACCTGGTAGTTCACTACACAGTGGCCAGCTTCAGGTTCCTCAACACAACAACCTGGTAGTTCACTACACAGTGGCCAGCTTCAGGTTCCTCAACACAACAACCTGGTAGTTCACTACACAGTGGCCAGCTTCAGGTTCCTCAACACAACACAACAACCTGGTAGTTCACTACACAGTGGCCAGCTTCAGGTTCCTCAACACAACACAACAACCTGGTAGTTCACTACACAGTGGCCAGCTTCAGGTTCCTCAACACAACAACCTGGTAGTTCACTACACAGTGGCCAGCTTCAGGTTCCTCAACACAACAACCTGGTAGTTCACTACACAGTGGCCAGCTTCAGGTTCCACAACACAACAACCTGGTAGTTCACTACACAGTGGCCAGCTTCAGGTTCCTCAACACAACAACCTGGTAGTTCACTACACAGTGGCCAGCTTCAGGTTCCTCAACACAACAACCTGGTAGTTCACTACACAGTGGCCAGCTTCAGGTTCCTCCTCACTACACAGTGGCCAACAACACAACAACCTGGTAGTTCACTACACAGTGGCCAGCTTCAGGTTCCTCAACACAACAACCTGGTAGTTCACTACACAGTGGCCAGCTTCAGGTTCCTCAACACAACAACCTGGTAGTTCACTACACAGTGGCCAGCTTCAGGTTCCTCAACACAACAACCTGGTAGTTCACTACACAGTGGCCAGCTTCAGGTTCCTCAACACAACAACCTGGTAGTTCACTACACAGTGGCCAGCTTCAGGTTCCTCAACACAACAACCTGGTAGTTCACTACACAGTGGCCAGCTTCAGGTTCCTCAACACAACAACCTGGTAGTTCACTACACAGTGGCCAGCTTCAGGTTCCTCAACACAACAACCTGGTAGTTCACTACACAGTGGCCAGCTTCAGGTTCCTCAACACAACAACCTGGTAGTTCACTACACAGTGGCCAGCTTCAGGTTCCTCAACACAACAACCTGGTAGTTCACTACACAGTGGCCAGCTTCAGGTTCCTCAACACAACAACCTGGTAGTTCACTACACAGTGGCCAGCTTCAGGTTCCTCAACACAACAACCTGGTAGTTCACTACACAGTGGCCAGCTTCAGGTTCCTCAACACAACAACCTGGTAGTTCACTACACAGTGGCCAGCTTCAGGTTCCTCAACACAACAACCTGGTAGTTCACTACACAGTGGCCAGCTTCAGGTTCCTCAACACAACAACCTGGTAGTTCACTACACAGTGGCCAGCTTCAGGTTCCTCAACACAACAACCTGGTAGTTCACTACACAGTGGCCAGCTTCAGGTTCCTCAACACAACAACCTGGTAGTTCACTACACAGTGGCCAGCTTCAGGTTCCACAACACAACAACCTGGTAGTTCACTACACAGTGGCCAGCTTCAGGTTCCTCAACACAACAACCTGGTAGTTCACTACACAGTGGCCAGCTTCAGGTTCCTCAACACAACAACCTGGTAGTTCACTACACAGTGGCCAGCTTCAGGTTCCTCAACACAACAACCTGGTAGTTCACTACACAGTGGCCAGCTTCAGGTTCCTCAACACAACAACCTGGTAGTTCACTACACAGTGGCCAGCTTCAGGTTCCTCAACACAACAACCTGGTAGTTCACTACACAGTGGCCAGCTTCAGGTTCCTCAACACAACAACCTGGTAGTTCACTACACAGTGGCCAGCTTCAGGTTCCTCAGTGGCCACACAACACAACAACCTGGTAGTTCACTACACAGTGGCCAGCTTCAGGTTCCTCAACACAACAACCTGGTAGTTCACTACACAGTGGCCAGCTTCAGGTTCCTCAACACAACAACCTGGTAGTTCACTACACAGTGGCCAGCTTCAGGTTCCTCAACACAACAACCTGGTAGTTCACTACACAGTGGCCAGCTTCAGGTTCCTCAACACAACAACCTGGTAGTTCACTACACAGTGGCCAGCTTCAGGTTCCTCAACACAACAACCTGGTAGTTCACTACACAGTGGCCAGCTTCAGGTTCCTCAACACAACAACCTGGTAGTTCACTACACAGTGGCCAGCTTCAGGTTCCTCAACACAACAACCTGGTAGTTCACTACACAGTGGCCAGCTTCAGGTTCCTCAACACAACAACCTGGTAGTTCACTACACAGTGGCCAGCTTCAGGTTCCTCAACACAACAACCTGGTAGTTCACTACACAGTGGCCAGCTTCAGGTTCCTCAACACAACAACCTGGTAGTTCACTACACAGTGGCCAGCTTCAGGTTCCTCAACACAACAACCTGGTAGTTCACTACACAGTGGCCAGCTTCAGGTTCCTCAACACAACAACCTGGTAGTTCACTACACAGTGGCCAGCTTCAGGTTCCTCAACACAACAACCTGGTAGTTCACTACACAGTGGCCAGCTTCAGGTTCCTCAACACAACAACCTGGTAGTTCACTACACAGTGGCCAGCTTCAGGTTCCTCAACACAACACAACAACCTGGTAGTTCACTACACAGTGGCCAGCTTCAGGTTCCTCAACACAACAACCTGGTAGTTCACTACACAGTGGCCAGCTTCAGGTTCCTCAACACAACAACCTGGTAGTTCACTACACAGTGGCCAGCTTCAGGTTCCTCAACACAACAACCTGGTAGTTCACTACACAGTGGCCAGCTTCAGGTTCCTCAACACAACAACCTGGTAGTTCACTACACAGTGGCCAGCTTCAGGTTCCTCAACACAACACAACAACCTGGTAGTTCACTACACAGTGGCCAGCTTCAGGTTCCTCAACACAACAACCTGGTAGTTCACTACACAGTGGCCAGCTTCAGGTTCCTCAACACAACAACCTGGTAGTTCACTACACAGTGGCCAGCTTCAGGTTCCTCAACACAACAACCTGGTAGTTCACTACACAGTGGCCAGCTTCAGGTTCCTCAACACAACAACCTGGTAGTTCACTACACAGTGGCCAGCTTCAGGTTCCTCAACACAACAACCTGGTAGTTCACTACACAGTGGCCAGCTTCAGGTTCCTCAACACAACAACCTGGTAGTTCACTACACAGTGGCCAGCTTCAGGTTCCTCAACACAACAACCTGGTAGTTCACTACACAGTGGCCAGCTTCAGGTTCCTCAACACAACAACCTGGTAGTTCACTACACAGTGGCCAGCTTCAGGTTCCTCAACACAACAACCTGGTAGTTCACTACACAGTGGCCAGCTTCAGGTTCCTCAACACAACAACCTGGTAGTTCACTACACAGTGGCCAGCTTCAGGTTCCTCAACACAACAACCTGGTAGTTCACTACACAGTGGCCAGCTTCAGGTTCCTCAACACAACACAACCTGGTAGTTCACTACACAGTGGCCAGCTTCAGGTTCCTCAACACAACAACCTGGTAGTTCACTACACAGTGGCCAGCTTCAGGTTCCTCAACACAACAACCTGGTAGTTCACTACACAGTGGCCAGCTTCAGGTTCCTCAACACAACACAACAACCTGGTAGTTCACTACACAGTGGCCAGCTTCAGGTTCCTCAACACAACACAACAACCTGGTAGTTCACTACACAGTGGCCAGCTTCAGGTTCCTCAACACAACAACCTGGTAGTTCACTACACAGTGGCCAGCTTCAGGTTCCTCAACACAACAACCTGGTAGTTCACTACACAGTGGCCAGCTTCAGGTTCCTCAACACAACAACCTGGTAGTTCACTACACAGTGGCCAGCTTCAGGTTCCTCAACACAACAACCTGGTAGTTCACTACACAGTGGCCAGCTTCAGGTTCCACAACACACTGAGGAACCATCAATAACAACTGGGAAGTGTGGAAGTTCACCACACACACAGATATGAACACATTCGCCAGAGACTGATAACAGTGATAGCGATAATGGCTGATAATGCTGGCTGCATATTACCCACAAGTGCAACATCACGTGTTGTGGAGTTATGACGTTATTATGTATTATATTATATGGGAAATATTTAAAGTTAAAAATATACAAAGTTTTAAATGATATCAGTAAACGTCAGTAGCTTACACGTTCCTTATGGTGAGGACGTGTGTAGGTATGTGTCTTATCAGTCGTGTTGGTGTTTATCTTATCTGTCTCCCACCATGACCAGGGCTCCCACGCTGGGCGCTCCCACAGTGTGTATGTCTCCCACCATGACCAGGGCTCCCACGCTGGGCGCTCCCACAGTGTGTATGTCTCCCACCATGACCAGGGCTCCCACGCTGGGCGCTCCCACAGTGTGTATGTCTCCCACCATGACCAGGGCTCCCACGCTGGGCGCTCCCACAGTGTGTATGTCTCCCACCATGACCAGGGCTCCCACAGTGTGTATGTCTCCCACCATGACCAGGGCTCCCACGCTGGGCGCTCCCACAGTGTGTATGTCTCCCACCATGACCAAGGCTCCCACGCTGGGCGCTCCCACAGTGTGTATGTCTCCCACCATGACCAGGGCTCCCGCTCCCACAGTGTGTATGTCTCCCACCATGACCAAGGCTCCCACGTTGGGCGCTCCCACAGTGTGTATGTCTCCCACCATGACCAGGGCTCCCACGCTGGGAGCTCCCACAGTGTGTATGTCTCCCACCATGACCAGGGCTCCCACGCTGGGCGCTCCCACAGTGTGTATGTCTCCCACCATGACCAGGGCTCCCACGCTGGGCGCTCCCACAGTGTGTATGTCTCCCACCATGACCAGGGCTCCCACGCTGGGCGCTCCCACAGTGTGTATGTCTCCCACCATGACCAGGGCTCCCACGCTGGGCGCTCCCACAGTGTGTATGTCTCCCACCATGACCAGGGCTCCCACGCTGGGCGCTCCCACAGTGTGTATGTCTCCCACCATGACCAGGGCTCCCACGCTGGGCGCTCCCACAGTGTGTATGTCTCCCACCATGACCAGGGCTCCCACGCTGGGTGCTCCCACAGTGTGTATGTCTCCCACCATGACCAGGGCTCCCACGCTGGGCGCTCCCACAGTGTGTATGTCTCCCACCATGACCAGGGCTCCCACGCTGGGTGCTCCCACAGTGTGTATGTCTCCCACCATGACCAGGGCTCCCACGCTGGGCGCTCCCACAGTGTGTATGTCTCCCACCATGACCAGGGCTCCCACGCTGGGCGCTCCCACAGTGTGTATGTCTCCCACCATGACCAGGGCTCCCACGCTGGGCGCTCCCACAGTGTGTATGTCTCCCACCATGACCAGGGCTCCCACGCTGGGCGCTCCCACAGTGTGTATGTCTCCCACCATGACCAGGGCTCCCACGCTGGGCGCTCCCACAGTGTGTATGTCTCCCACCATGACCAGGGCTCCCACGCTGGGCGCTCCCACAGTGTGTATGTCTCCCACCATGACCAGGGCTCCCACGCTGGGCGCTCCCACAGTGTGTATGTCTCCCACCATGACCAGGGCTCCCACGCTGGGCGCTCCCACAGTGTGTATGTCTCCCACCATGACCAGGGCTCCCACGCTGGGCGCTCCCACAGTGTGTATGTCTCCCACCATGACCAGGGCTCCCACGCTGGGCGCTCCCACAGTGTGTATGTCTCCCACCATGACCAGGGCTCCCACGCTGGGCGCTCCCACAGTGTGTATGTCTCCCACCATGACCAGGGCTCCCACGCTGGGCGCTCCCACAGTGTGTATGTCTCCCACCATGACCAGGGCTCCCACGCTGGGCGCTCCCACAGTGTGTATGTCTCCCACCATGACCAGGGCTCCCACGCTGGGCGCTCCCACAGTGTGTATGTCTCCCACCATGACCAGGGCTCCCACGCTGGGCGCTCCCACAGTGTGTATGTCTCCCACCATGACCAGGGCTCCCACGCTGGGCGCTCCCACAGTGTGTATGTCTCCCACCATGACCAGGGCTCCCACGCTGGGCGCTCCCACAGTGTGTATGTCTCCCACCATGACCAGGGCTCCCACGCTGGGCGCTCCCACAGTGTGTATGTCTCCCACCATGACCAGGGCTCCCACGCTGGGCGCTCCCACAGTGTGTATGTCTCCCACCATGACCAGGGCTCCCACGCTGGGCGCTCCCACAGTGTGTATGTCTCCCACCATGACCAGGGCTCCCACGCTGGGCGCTCCCACAGTGTGTATGTCTCCCACCATGACCAGGGCTCCCACGCTGGGCGCTCCCACAGTGTGTATGTCTCCCACCATGACCAGGGCTCCCACGCTGGGCGCTCCCACAGTGTGTATGTCTCCCACCATGACCAGGGCTCCCACGCTGGGCGCTCCCACAGTGTGTATGTCTCCCACCATGACCAGGGCTCCCACGCTGGGCGCTCCCACAGTGTGTATGTCTCCCACCATGACCAGGGCTCCCACGCTGGGCGCTCCCACAGTGTGTATGTCTCCCACCATGACCAGGGCTCCCACGCTGGGCGCTCCCACAGTGTGTATGTCTCCCACCATGACCAGGGCTCCCACGCTGGGCGCTCCCACAGTGTGTATGTCTCCCACCATGACCAGGGCTCCCACGCTGGGCGCTCCCACAGTGTGTATGTCTCCCACCATGACCAGGGCTCCCACGCTGGGCGCTCCCACAGTGTGTATGTCTCCCACCATGACCAGGGCTCCCACGCTGGGCGCTCCCACAGTGTGTATGTCTCCCACCATGACCAGGGCTCCCACGCTGGGCGCTCCCACAGTGTGTATGTCTCCCACCATGACCAGGGCTCCCACGCTGGGCGCTCCCACAGTGTGTATGTCTCCCACCATGACCAGGGCTCCCACGCTGGGCGCTCCCACAGTGTGTATGTCTCCCACCATGACCAGGGCTCCCACGCTGGGCGCTCCCACAGTGTGTATGTCTCCCACCATGACCAGGGCTCCCACGCTGGGCGCTCCCACAGTGTGTATGTCTCCCACCATGACCAGGGCTCCCACGCTGGGCGCTCCCACAGTGTGTATGTCTCCCACCATGACCAGGGCTCCCACGCTGTATGTCTCCCCCACAGTGTGTATGTCTCCCACCATGACCAGGGCTCCCACGCTGGGCGCTCCCACAGTGTGTATGTCTCCCACCATGACCAGGGCTCCCACGCTGGGCGCTCCCACAGTGTGTATGTCTCCCACCATGACCAGGGCTCCCACGCTGGGCGCTCCCACAGTGTGTATGTCTCCCACCATGACCAGGGCTCCCACGCTGGGCGCTCCCACAGTGTGTATGTCTCCCACCATGACCAGGGCTCCCACGCTGGGCGCTCCCACAGTGTGTATGTCTCCCACCATGACCAGGGCTCCCACGCTGGGCGCTCCCACAGTGTGTATGTCTCCCACCATGACCAGGGCTCCCACGCTGGGCGCTCCCACAGTGTGTATGTCTCCCACCATGACCAGGGCTCCCACGCTGGGCGCTCCCACAGTGTGTATGTCTCCCACCATGACCAGGGCTCCCACGCTGGGCGCTCCCACTGGGTGTGTATGTCTCCCACCATGACCAGGGCTCCCACGCTGGGCGCTCCCACAGTGTGTATGTCTCCCACCATGACCAGGGCTCCCACGCTGGGCGCTCCCACAGTGTGTATGTCTCCCACCATGACCAGGGCTCCCACGCTGGGCGCTCCCACAGTGTGTATGTCTCCCACCATGACCAGGGCTCCCACGCTGGGCGCTCCCACAGTGTGTATGTCTCCCACCATGACCAGGGCTCCCACGCTGGGCGCTCCCACAGTGTGTATGTCTCCCACCATGACCAGGGCTCCCACGCTGGGCGCTCCCACAGTGTGTATGTCTCCCACCATGACCAGGGCTCCCACGCTGGGCGCTCCCACAGTGTGTATGTCTCCCACCATGACCAGGGCTCCCACGCTGGGCGCTCCCACAGTGTGTATGTCTCCCACCATGACCAGGGCTCCCAGGCGCTCCCACACCAGCTCCCACAGTGTGTATGTCTCCCACCATGACCAGGGCTCCCACGCTGGGCGCTCCCACAGTGTGTATGTCTCCCACCATGACCAGGGCTCCCACGCTGGGCGCTCCCACAGTGTGTATGTCTCCCACCATGACCAGGGCTCCCACGCTGGGCGCTCCCACAGTGTGTATGTCTCCCACCATGACCAGGGCTCCCACGCTGGGCGCTCCCACAGTGTGTATGTCTCCCACCATGACCAGGGCTCCCACGCTGGGCGCTCCCACAGTGTGTATGTCTCCCACCATGACCAGGGCTCCCACGCTGGGCGCTCCCACAGTGTGTATGTCTCCCACCATGACCAGGGCTCCCACGCTGGGCGCTCCCACAGTGTGTATGTCTCCCACCATGACCAGGGCTCCCACGCTGGGCGCTCCCACAGTGTGTATGTCTCCCACCATGACCAGGGCTCCCACGCTGGGCGCTCCCACAGTGTGTATGTCTCCCACCATGACCAGGGCTCCCACGCTGGGCGCTCCCACAGTGTGTATGTCTCCCACCATGACCAGGGCTCCCACGCTGGGCGCTCCCACAGTGTGTATGTCTCCCACCATGACCAGGGCTCCCACGCTGGGCGCTCCCACAGTGTGTATGTCTCCCACCATGACCAGGGCTCCCACGCTGGGCGCTCCCACAGTGTGTATGTCTCCCACCATGACCAGGGCTCCCACGCTGGGCGCTCCCACAGTGTGTATGTCTCCCACCATGACCAGGGCTCCCACGCTGGGCGCTCCCACAGTGTGTATGTCTCCCACCATGACCAGGGCTCCCACGCTGGGCGCTCCCACAGTGTGTATGTCTCCCACCATGACCAGGGCTCCCACGCTGGGCGCTCCCACAGTGTGTATGTCTCCCACCATGACCAGGGCTCCCACGCTGGGCGCTCCCACAGTGTGTATGTCTCCCACCATGACCAGGGCTCCCACGCTGGGCGCTCCCACAGTGTGTATGTCTCCCACCATGACCAGGGCTCCCACGCTGGGCGCTCCCACAGTGTGTATGTCTCCCACCATGACCAGGGCTCCCACGCTGGGCGCTCCCACAGTGTGTATGTCTCCCACCATGACCAGGGCTCCCACGCTGGGCGCTCCCACGCTCCCACAGTGTGTATGTCTCCCACCATGACCAGGGCTCCCGCTCCCACAGTGTGTATGTCTCCCACCATGACCAGGGCTCCCACGC